TAACTAATACCCTGCAAGAAAGAAAGAAAGAAGATGCAAAGTGACCTTTCTTGATAGGTTGGAGTGCTAGTCTGAAAACAAAGAATGAAAATCAATAGGGACAAATGCAGGGTTCTGCACTAGGGAGGAGAAACCACATGCAGCTTACAAGATGGGGAGTACTTGGCTCAACAGTACTGCAAGGGAGAAGGATCTTGGAATTGTTGCAGACTGCAAGCTGAACAGGATGTGATGCTATTTTAGGCTGCATTAATAGAAGTGTCACGTCCAATTCCCATGAAGTAGTAGTTGCCCTTTACTCAGCACTAGTTAAGCCTGGAGTACTGTGTACGGTTCTGGGCATCACAGTTTAAGAAAGATGCAGACAAGCTGGAATGGGTTCAGAGGAGGGCAACAAGGATGATCCAGGGACTGGAAACAAAGCTCTGCAAGGGGAGATAGAAAGAACTGGGCATGTTAAGGGAAGATATGTCACCATCCTTCAAGTACTTGAAAGGTTGTCACAAAATGGAAGGCCATAATCTCTTCTTCATCATCCCAAAGTTCAGAACACAGAATAATGGGCTCAAATTACAGGAAGTCCAGTTCTGTAACAAGAACTTCCTGTTAGAGCAGTACAACAATGGAAGTTGTGGGCTCTTCCCCCACACTAGAGGTATTCTAGATGCAACTGGACAGCCCTCTGGGAGTCCTGGAGTCCTGCACTGAGCAGAGATTGGCTCTGATGGCCCCTTCCAACTCTAATATTCTATGATTCTAAGATTCCACTGAACTGAACAGATTTACTATTGTTTTAAATTCTCTGGTTCCTTATTTGTTTCTGAAAGCAATTCAAACTGCTGATGCTAGAATATTAGGAAGAGCCTAAATGGCGTGAGGCATCAGAGAATTGAAGGATGTTCTCCTACATGAACCTATTAGTCTTCTGTGCCCATCATAGGGCCAGCTCCATATGCCTTCAAAGAAGATAAAACTACCACTGGCTACTAGTCATGATACTTATATAGTCTTCCATACCTTTCCTGCTGGGCACTATCCTTGGAGACCCTAGCTTAGACCCAGATTTACATTGGATTAACTGTACCAGTGGAAGTGAACTTTCTTTCCAAGGCAATCCTTCTAGCCCCTGAAGATGCTGGTGAGCTGTGTTATGGAGGGAAGGTGGTTCCCCAGAAAAAGAGGGACCTTCTTGGAGATCTTGGATCTGATCCATTCACTCAATGCCTACTTTGGGGCATCTTGATCTTCTGATAGTCCTTAACCTAGAATGTCTTCCTGCATTTGTAAAAACCGATTGATGGTAGACGGGCTTTATTTGAGCCTTTGTTTTATTTTATGTTTGTTTTAATTATTTTATTTTGAACTTTTTTAAAGGAAAAATTGATACATAGGCAACCTTGAATGGCTGATGCTATCAATATTAAAACCTTCCACTCTGGCTGGAAAACATGTAATTCGTAAATTTTGGAGATGGCAAACTGTGGCCTTCTCGATGTTGCCTTCAACTCCCATTCAAAGAAGTTTTCAGCTGGCCCCTTTGAGCATGTTTTTGCATTTGCAAAGTGCCCAATGGAAACCTCTTCATCTGTATCTGATGTGTCTCTGAAACAAAAGTGCTGTTTTCAGAGGCAACCTTATAAAATGCAAATACTAAATCAGGCTCAACCATCTTCACATCTTCAATCCAGGGTATTCATTCATAGAGATGATCAGAAGCATTCACATGTCAGTGTTGACTAGACAGCACATAACAATAACAGCAGGACAACTTCCTACACTTCTGGATAAGAAATAGCACCCTCTTAGCTTAGTAGGGGATACTGGGACAATGGCCATCTCTTCACCTAACCTTCCTCACAGGGATGTTGTTAGAAGGAAGGAGGAACTGAGTTCCTTTCAGCAGATGATGCTGATGGTTCATAGCACATAAAGCACAAAATGTGCTCTGTATCATCATAGCAAAGAACACATATGTAACAGGATTGTGCAAGAAAAATATGACATCTTTCAGTGGTTCCAGATTTCTCCTGGGTCGTCCCTCAGCTGGCAGCAATATTTTAAATGTTCTGCCATCTACCCTGAGCCAGGTTCAAAATGTCACAATGAATTAACTGAATAAAAAACTATAGCACAGAAATTAAAAATATCACATGTTGACATGACTTTTACTTTAGGTATGCTTTATTTTTCTCCTTGCTGTCCTGTTGCTGCCAGAAAACAGTTGGATCATTTAAAAAAAAATCAGCTCACTTACCAAATCTAATCAAAGAGTGCACAAAACTTCATGAAGATAACCAAATCTGCCTCTTCATAGCAGATGGACTAACAGCCATGACACATAATTCAAAGGTTTTAGCTGTGTGGATTATTACACCTCTGTAAAACACTGGTTGCACATCAGTTGGTTCAAAATCTTTAACTCAATTAGCATCTCAGCTTCTCCCACTGGAAATGTCAATTCAGTTTCTTGTGTCATTACAAAATGATTCAACATGTCATATTTGTTTCTTAAAAATATAAAAGATGTTCCTAGTCATATAAAAATCTGGCAGTATTTAATGAAGACCAACAGCCTTACAGTGAGACATAGAAAAACAATGCTTAAAAATAATATATATGTGTTATGCATACTCTTTGCTGGTTGCTCTTCCTGTTGAATCTTCTTATAAAAAAGGGTGACCTATTCAGCTGAAAAGGGACCTTCCTTTATATTCATTCCTTGCAGACTCGGGTATAATGTGAATAGCATGTAAGTCCCATGACTACAGCAATGCTGGATGGGGCTTGTGGGAATCATAGTCAAAAACCAATTTCCCTACTCCTACAGCAGGTTTCTCTGAGCTAGACAAACCAGTGTTCTGACTCCACAGAAAGGCAGGTATGTGTTTATTTGGCAGCTACAACACACCCATCATGGCCTGCAATTCAAGCTGCTCTGAAAGACTGGAGCAGGAACACGAAATGAGTTGGAAGGTACAAGGAAAAATGGTGACAGCATTTTAGAGAAGCGACTCCTCTTTCCACATTTCCTTGTAACCATCCGTGCTATGGGGCCAAATTCGACTCGATTCCGAGAACCCCGGGCATGGTAGTTCCAAAAATAGCAGGAAGAAACTTACATCTGCAAAAGGGCTCCAGGCAAGCAACAAGCCCGCCTTCAACAACCTCAAAATAATGTGACCCCCCCCCCCACTCTGCTGTTCAAGGGGAGGGGGGAGAACTGAATTCCAGACAAACCCTGTGCTTGCAGCTGGGTCACCCTGACACAAAGCTGCTCAGGCCAATCCATCTAATATGACTGGCAGGATTTCTGTGCATTACGGAGCTATGCAAAGCTGGGAGGCTTTGGTGATTGGGTTCGCATCAAGTCTCCTCTTCGCCAGAGGAATGAGAAACGCGCTGCTTGCCAAGGAGAAGTGTTCCACTTAAAAACAAGAGTGACTCCCTCCCCTGCAGCCGTGCAGCACCGAGAGCTAGTCTGCTGTCATGGGTACGGTGGGGCTGAAGCCATGGAGATCTGACTCAAATTCCTTCGCAAGTGTGAAGCTCCCCTTGGGGATCAACACCGACTACCTCCAGGGTTGCTCTGAGGAACCCGTGCACGTTAGCCAGGGCTTTGAACAGGAAACCTGGGCTAAAATGCAATCAAATGCAGAGTGGCAGATCTCTGTAGGAGATACCATCGTATTAGATATTCATACCCATAATTCCTCTGTCCACGGATGCTTCTCGTGACATCTGAAGCAGTACTCCAGGTCTACCCACTCTGCAAATCACAGTGCCAGCCCCTGGTATTGGGCCGAGGAGCGCCCCTCTTGGCACCCACCAGGTCCTTGCCCCACACTTTTTTCCAACTGGGACACTGGTTTGGTACCACCCTGCAGTGCCCTCTTACTTAGGTTTTCCCTTCGGGAGCTCAGCCCTGGTCTCTGACTTGTACATAGTTTTTGGACACGCTGCTTCTCTTTAGCCTTACCAGTTGACAGCTGACTTCTGGGAAATCCCTATGCCTGGTCATTTCCACTGTAGAATCATAGAACAGTAGAGCTGGAAGGGGGCAGAAGGGGCCAGAGGGCCACTGGCTCCAACCCCCTGCTCAGTGCAGGACTCCAGGTTAAACCATCCTTCTCAGATGGCTGTCCAGTTGCATCTTGAATATCTCCAGTATGGAACAGTCCACATCCTCCCTCCACTGCTGTGCTCTAACAGGATTCTTTTTCTGATATCTAGCTGGAATCTGGATTCCTCCAAATTGGACCCATTATTCTGTGTCCTGCATGGAATGGACAAGCTCACCTTCCATGCCAGCCATTTTGGAGGACCCACAGCACTCAACATTCAGAAGATGTTGGGGACCCATGAATAGCAGCAGAGCTTTTTCCACTGCCCTGGCACTGGTAAAATAACCGGCTGCGTATAATTTGGCAGGCACCAACACAGTCTTCCTTCTGATGCTGGAAAGGCTAGGCTGTTCAAAAAGGCTTTCAACTGACTGTTGTTGTGAGGATAAGATTCAGAGGAGGAGGAGAATTGTTTAAGCTGCTTTGAATTCCTTGGAAAAAAGGCAGGATATAAATATAATAAATAAAAGTCCAACCCAAGCAATAGGAAGTTGCACCTATCCCATTGCTGAACCATTAAAGTTATGGGAAGAAAGGCCTTTTTCTCATATAAAACATAACTAAATCCTAGCTGGAAATAGGAATAAGTGTGCTTTATTTCACTGAAAGCCTTACAAGGAACTTCTCAGGGTCTATACTGCACATTGGGTGGACCTAAGGCTATCCCAGGGAGGTGTCTCAATCAAATTCAAGGGACCATACCTTAGAGAATAGCCCCCTTATCAATCGTCTGTCTGCCTGTCTGCCTGTCTGTCTGTCTGTCTGTCTGTCTGTCAGTGCCACCATGGATTCCAGCCAGTATAAACACAATGGAAGCCAAGACTTCTTTAAGTCTCACATCTGAAATGCCCTCATGGCTTCTCAAAGGCACTGTGAAACTTCTACCCATTTTTGCAATTTTATTACAAGACAAATGGAAAAGTAAAAGGAACATCCCCCATGCTTAGAAGACAATTTGCTTTTTAATTTCACCATATTCTTTGATATTTATATACATATACACATACAGCGCAAACCCACACTCACGTCTCTTAAAAGCAAAGGCATTACTCCATTGCAGAAATTTAAAAATGACTTATATGAAGGAAAAATGTACAAAGCAAGTTCCTCTTCTTCAAGAAAAAGAAAAACAAAACTGATCACGAATGTATTCCTCAGCAGAAATTCAGAAATTCAATCAGGCCTATTATAAAACATTTCTTATGACAAGTATTGGTCATGCTTTTTTAAAAAAAGAATGGTTGTAAAGGAATTAAGATGTTCAGCATATGAAGGACACTGCACAGCTTTTAAGGGTTGGTAGTCCCAGGTTGGAGCTACACTTTGGCTGCAATCCTGTATTCCCACTTTCCTGGAAGTAGGCCCCACTGAAATCAATCTCCCTTTCTTTTTAATAGACAGACATATAGATTACATAGCTAGTGAACTTATGAATAAATTGGTTTCAGTGGGTCTACAGTAAGTATGGCTAAGTCGAGAACCAATCCATAAACTGGTAAAGATGTGAACTGGAACAGAGATTGTTAAAGGCCTGACACAGCAAAATCCCATTTTTAAAAAAAAAGCACATGTGTGTGTTGTGTCTACAAATTTCACTTTTTGTGAAAAAGAAGAGGTTTCACCATTCCTGCTAGAATCTTGGGAAGCTGCGCAGCAATCACTTCTGACATCATCTCCGGAAATTCAACACTCAGTGTACGGGACTGCAGAAATGTGTTCAAACAGTATAGGTGGAGTTGTTTCACCAGCTGTATTTTTGAAAAAAAAAATACACGAAATTACAGAAGTCCCATACATGATGAGATAGTCCCCTAATTATGCATTCTGCCCATGCGTTATCTTGACACTTGTCAGGAATAACAGACAACTGCCCCCTTCTGGTGCTGGGCAGAACTGCAGCCTGTCCGTAACCTGTTCTGAAGGCCATACAGCTTCCTCGTGTGTTTCATTCCTGAATTGCAGCTGGCAAAGTTCAGCTCTGCACTGACTCTGCTCCCACTTTACCTCCCCAGGCCGGGCACTGGATTCTTCCGGGCAGGAAGGAGTATTAAACGGGCCTCCTATGGAAACTGAGCCTGGCTTGAGCAACCAAGGTCCACCTGAGCTCCGGTGTCCCTTGCCCTTCCGGTCTTGCTTTTGGTCCTGGCCCCAGCCTGCTCTTTGGCTTACTCGCCAACCCTGAGCCAGCCCCAGTTCTCAGTTCCTGGATCTTGACTCCCTCCACACTGCTGCTTGTGGCCCAGCCATGGTGGCGGCCATGAAACACTGAGCTCTGTGGGCTGCACCATTTCTTCCCACTCCTGCAGTTTCCCCTTTTCCTTCCCAGTCAACGATCTGGCCAAAGGGGTTAGCCTGGGAGGCTGTGCATGTGCAGTGTGTGATTGAGAGCTGTGTACTAACAGAACAATGAGGGGTGAAGGCAACAGGGAGAATTTTGTGGTGGCTGTTAAGCCTTCCTGATAATGTGAGAATGAGGCACACAAGCACCCCAGTTATGGAGCGACTTCCCCTCTGAGGCCTGTGGGGCACCAACTTTAGTATCCTTTCAGCATCAGGTTAAGAATGTCCTCTATTGAAGGGCATTTAATCAGTCATTTAGGGGCTTTGTTAGTTGCTTTGTTTGATCACTTCTTGGTAATTATTAATGTGTTTTAATCTGGCTTTACTTTTTGCATGATGACTTTTTAATATGTTTTGAATGTTATTTTTGCATTAAGCTCGGCCAGAGCTCAAGCGGACTCTGGGGGATGGTGGAGGACAAGAAGGCCTGAAGGAATGTTGTCTATGTGGTCACAGTGGGTCAGACATGAATTCGCAAATAGCAACAACAACAATTTTGTATTTTGTAAATTCCAGTTCCCAGATGGCATTGAAATTAATTAATCAATACAACAGCGTCAAAACTGAGGCACAAGGTATAAATGTTTGCCTTTAAAAGCACAGAAATCTTCCTTATAGTGGGTCATACCTTTGGTCCATTTAGCTCCATACTGACTACCCAGATTAGCAGCATCTCTCCATACCTGGAGATGTTAGGAACTGCATACAGGACACAAGCATCAAAGCATATGCTCCACCACTGTGCCATGAGGTTCTTCTCCAATATTTTGGACTATACATTTAAATAACAGAAGCCGCTAAATATGGAAGTAGACTCTGGTTCTGTCCTTTTCATAGCATGCGTTCCTGCATTTTTGGGCACCTCTGCTGCCCCCTCCTTCCCTACTGGTCCTTAGCTTAGCCCCAACGGTGGCATACTTTCAAATGGGAAGGCCATTCTCCCATACACAGAGCCAGCAGCTTCAATGCTGCCCAGGAATCTGTTTTTCCAGCTACCCTAAAAAAGCAACCGTCTAGGAGATGAAGGTAGCCTTGGAGTCCACCGGTGCGCCACCACTGTCTGCACAGTCCAATGTGCCTTTGTGTCTAAGAATCTCGTCCTGCCCATTGTATGATAAGGACCAGTCTGACAAACTTACATCATGCATGGAGTCCATGAGCTTTGTCAGCTGGTAGAAGCGCTGGGAACTGGCCACCATGCCTTTCTGCCGCAGCCCGATCGCCTTGACAAGCTCTCTAATGTAACTTGCTCTCATTTCATCGAACTGGTTTTGGCTCCTCAGACCTTCCAAAGGAACTGTGAAAAATAAAACAGCCCAACATGCAGTGATTTGCTCTGCAGCTTGCTGTGTGCAGCCCTGGGCTCGCTGTTCACCTAGACCAGTGATGGCGAACCTTTGAGACCGAGTGCCCCAACTGCAACCCAAAACCCACTTATTTATCGCAAAGTGTCAACACTACAATAAAACCTGAAAACTGAGGTTTTCGGTTAGAAAAAACAACTCACAGCCAGTCCAAGCAAGTGTGTGTGTGTGTGTGTGTGTGTATCCTTAGCAGTGCACTGACTGGCCATGTGGAAGCTCAGACGAGTCGCAGCTAATGAGTCACGGCCACGTGCCGTCATTGCCTGGCGCCGCTACTCCTTTCCGAGCATGAGCATGGCCACTATGTGCGCTGTTATCCGATGCTCAGCTGCTGGGGCAATGCTGGGGCACCTTGGCTCGCGTGCTGACAGGGAGGGCTCTGTGTGCCCGCCGTGGCACATGTACCATACGTTCACCACCACTGACCTAGACCTACTGGGCGCTGCCCAGGGTCCAGACTCTCCTGGTTGGGAGAGTCTCTCTTAGACTGCTTCCCCTTCTCCTGGGTGTCCCACCCCCAGCACACCACACAGCAGTAGCTTGCCATGCTCTTGGGCATTTCTTGCTACCTGTTTGTCTTGCATCAGGGTGCCAGGGATTGAACCTAAGGAGCTACTGCATGCAAGGTACGCTCTCTGCCCCTGCAAAGTGTTCTGGATATTGTAGCCACGGACTTTGATTGATAGATTATATTTATATCCCACCTTTCTCCCTGCCAAAGAACTCAAGGTGGCTTTCATAATTCACCCCTCCAGCAACAACCACCCTGTGAGGCAGAATCTGCGACTGGCCCAAAGACTCCCAGACAGCTCCACGACCAAGCGGGGACTAGAACCCAGAGTGTCTGAGCTCCCATCCTGCACTCTTGGCCACACAACACCACACTGGCTCTCAGTTCCTTTGGTGAGATGCAAAAACGCCCATCTCCTTGTTGCGTGTTGCATAAGGGAACATACTTAGCTCCACACACCTTTGTATGAAGAAGCTGAAGCCAAAGCAGGAGAAACTAGCAGAAAGAGAAGAGGAAGAGACGGTAGCAGTGGGAGAAAAAGCAGCGGCCACATCAGAAAGCGAAGAAGGAGCAGGAGCAAGAACAGTGGCTGCAGCAGTGGTGCCAGCGGCAAGAGGAGGAGAAGGCCTCTTACTTGTATTGAGGAGCAGCAAGGCTTTCATGCAGAGGAACTCCTCGCTGCTTACTTGCAGCTTGACAAACTCTTGCGGTATTTGCCACATGGAGAGGCACAGTGAATAGAACGACGATTCTTTCATCCTCTGCCTTACACACCCCCAAAAAATGAAAGACAAAAGTTAAATAAATACCAAATCTGTGAGGCTTTAGGAACAGTACAATTACTAGTTTTCTTACTGCCGCATGAGTACGACACCACACAGCATTTTTTTTTATGTTGACCCATCGAGATGTTGTGCCACCCATGGAAAAAAGGGTGCTCAGTGAACAGTTAGAGCGCCATGTTGCCATGGTCCTCCTTTGCATCGGTGCCAAGGTGAAAACTTGGTCACTTTGACCCCAGCTTTTTTAAAGCTGTGGTTATTTTATGCTGGAAATTTTCACTACCCATTGTTTTTTGGATTGCTATAATTTATTTATTTTTATTTATTTATTTAAAACATTTCTATGCCGCCCCATTTGCTGAAGCCTCGGGGCGGCTCACAACATAAATTAAAATATAATACATTAAAAATATAAAACAAATTAACAATATAAAATAAGTTGCCCTGGCCAGATAAAATAAGCAAATAATATTAACAATTAAAATGACGTTTAAATAAAAAGGTCTTCGCCTGGCGCCAAAAAACAAATAACGACGGCGCCAGGCGGACCTCTCTGGGGAGTGCATTCCATAGATTGGGCGCCACCGCAGAGAAAGCCCTCCTCTGAGTACCTACCCTCCTAATTTCTTTCACGGAGGGTTCCCAAAGAAGGGCCTCTCCCGCAGATCTCAAGGGGCGGGCGGGCGTATATGGATGTAAGCGCTCCTTCAGGTAACCAGGACCCAAGCCGTTTAGGGCTTTATAGGTCATCACCAACACCTTGAATTGGGCCCGGACTTCAATGGGAAGCCAGTGAAGCTGACGGAGGACTGGAGTCATGTGAACATAACGCCCAGTCCCCGTCAGCAGCCTGGCAGCTCTATTTTGAACCAATTGAAGTATCCGGACCATCTTCAAGGGCAGCCCCACGTAGAACGCGTTACAGAAGTCAAGGCAGGAAGTCACCAACACGTGTATCACTGTCGCCAGGCAGTCGTTCTCCAGGTAGGGGTGCAGCTGATGGATCAGCCGAAGCTGAAGGAAAGCGCTCCTCGCCACTGCTGTCACCTGAGCTTCCAATGAAAGCTCTGGGTCGAGGAGCACTCCCGGAGAGCACTCCCAGAGAAAATTTCTCTTTATATATATATATATATAATGCAAATTACTCTGAAAGCCACAATTGAAGGTTTTCTCCTAAACAACACTGGAGAATTGTAGCAAAGCACAACAGCAGGAAAAAATACAGTCATTAGAATCAGAGCATGGCCAGCCCCTCCAACTTCACCACCACTTGTACAGGACTATTCCCCCTCTCTAAAAGGAAGGAATTATGGAGAACTGGAGGTACAACAGCAAATTAATGCAGGTGATACTTTGGAAAACTCAAAGACACTCATGTGCTAAGTATTTACTGCTGGTTTTTTCACTGGCAGGCAATTCATCTATCCAAAAATAGCATCTTCTGTATATTCTGATAGTGTATCCCTTCATCTCCAGTACAGTCTGTCAGATGAAGAACAATTTGCTGAAAGACACTGTAATGGGTGGGAAGCCCCTCCCTCCCTCTCGGCAGCCATTTTTACACTGCTGCCGGAGGCGAGCAGAGAAGCAGCTGCTAACAGCATCCTGATTGTCATTCTGGTGCTTTCTGTTCCAAGAAGAAAGCTCAGCTGTCATCAATCCTCTGGTCCCCTGCACCAGTATTGAGACAAAACCTGAACAGATGGTTCAGCCGCAAGTCCTCTCCTCTCCTCCCTGCCCTGTGCGAGGCTACTGCAGAGAAAGCTGCATGAATGGCCCCAGAGGATCAGGCAGGCTGTTGCTTCATGAAATTGTTATGTGGGCTGCCTGGTGATGCAAGGACTTTTCATGAATGAGCCCTGGGCCTTTTTTACTCCCAACCTTGCAAGTGTCTATGCAGAGGGAAGGCCCAGGACTATAACGGGACTTTATTTTATTTATTTTTCAATTTATATCCTGCCTTTTTCCTACAAAGGGCTCAAGGCAGCTTACATCATTCTCCTCCTCCATCTTCTCCCCACAACAACAGCCCGGTGAGGTAGGTTGGGCTGAGAGTCTGTGCCTGGCCCAAAGTCACCCAGTTGGCTCCACGGCTGAGCGGGGACTCGAACCCGGGTCGTCTGAGTCCCAGTCCCATGCTCTTAACCACTACACCACACTGGCTCTCCAAGGAAGTTGTGCATAGAATGCAGACTGGCTCACAGATTGACTAGATGACTAGGCTGATCTGCCTACTGCCAAAACCACAGCACAGGTGATTTAAAAATACTGAAGAAAATGTGAGGTATCTTGAAATTACAAAAGAGGAAGGAAAAATACAGCCACTAGAATCAGAGCATGGCCAACACCCCTCCGACCTCCCACCACTTGTACAGGGCTATTCCTCCTCTCTAAAAGGAAGGAATTATGGAGAGCTATATAAGCCACCTTGGGCTCCTTGAAAGAGGAAGAAGGTGGAATATAATTTCCGTAATAATATTTTAGGAGTGCTTTGGAGAAACAGAACGTATTTGTAGAAACATCAAGAATCACATTACTCTTTTGTAGAAGAGGCTACAAAGAGTTGTTCTTTTTATTGTTTTAAGCTTTTCCTGTAAATCTCCTTACCTCTGCTAATTCAGAAAAGCTCCCTTTAGAATGTAGGCATGCTTAGGAAGGACGGACACCAAAAAGAAAATCAAACATGTTCTCCCTTAATTATCAGTTCATCTATTCAACTTGGTTTCCTCTAATTAATCAAACAGGTTATTAAGCAGTTAGCAAGCGGTGTGTGGAAACCCACATTTTTGTCCAGAATTATGCCACTGATAATGGCTTGGCCTCCCTCAATTTATCTGATTCTCAGAAAACAACTTTTGAATGCTGGAAACTAGTTTATTTTCATGACAATGAAATGTAGTGCCATTGAGACTTGCAGGGTTTAATGTGTGCTTTTTCCAGAAATCAAGAGCATGTAAGAGTTGGAAGGCTGGAAACCTCAGCTTACTCATTGAGTATTAAATCAGGTGCAAAGTACAGCATCTGACCACTGACGTGCTTGTAGGACCTCCATCCCATGGCGAACACCATCAAACTCATCCATGAATACTGGATAAGGGTTATCTGATCATCAATATGTAAGTTCCGGAACCCTGAAAAGCAGGCAATAAAAGACGTGAGGTTGACGATATGAATTAAGAATGCACTATACTTCTGGACTGATATGCAAGGCAGGTGGGCTGTATTTGGCTTGGTTGGAAACCAGTTTCTTCATGGAGGGCCAACTGCATGTCCTATGGAAAGAAGCCAGGCTGGATATTATAACACACAGGAAAGTGGTTTCTACCAAGGGGCATGACTTTCGACCATGTACCTTATGATGTAGATACATGTTTGGAGGAGTCAGAAAGGCTGCACACCTCAGCGAAGTCACAGTCAGTACTATGGACACAATTCCCCGAGAGATGCTGCTTGTTTCATCCATGTACCTGAGTGCATGATTATAGGCCCTGAAAAGGGAGTTGCTACCTCCTCGCACATGGACACCCACGCACTCTTCCCAGCCCTGTTTGGAGATGTCCAGGACTGAATCTGGGACCTTCTGCAGGCACACCATGTGCTCTGTCCCTGAACTGCAGCCAACCCCATCAGACACCTTGAGGACATCAACGTGCAGCTCACATGTTCTCATAAGCAAAGAGGCAAATAAATGAAGTCCAGTCTGTGAGCCTGTCCCAAAATACATGTTTTGCTTGGTTTTTCCTCCAGGAGCAGAGTTCTCTTGTGGATCTCAAGCCTAGCTTTCATCATGGAACTCACATATTGTCTTAGCAGACTAGTTATCTTCAAACTTAAATGTGAATCAAAAGATTCTTATGATAGGAAATCACTAGGAGAAGTGTTCCACAGCTTGGGCATCTCAAATACTGTGTGAACCAGCAATGATATGTACTGCATTAAAATATTTCCATCAGAGTAAGCTCACACACCACAGAGCACTGCACATCCCAAGGCAATGCCCAGCCCCTAGGGAAGGACCACAGCTCAGAGGCAGAAGTCCATGCAAACAGACCAGATTCAGTCCTAACCGTCTCCATGTAGGAATTGCTCTTAAGTTGCAGCACTGCTGAAGACCTTCCTCAAAGATACTGGAGAAAAGATGGGCTGGAATGGAACAACCAAGCGCCATGCTTTTGTTTCCCATGAAAGAGGGTTACTGTTCATTTATTTCATTTCTATACTGCCCCATTGCTGAAGCACTCTTAGCACTTTGCAACAATTCACAGGATGCAATCCAATTACAGTACAGAATACAACCTCATAAAAAACAACAACAATGTAATATTTCATTTTAAAAATTAAAAATATTTAAGGAATTCGAATAATTGAAAAAGTTAATGCAGCAGTTAAAAATAGCAGATATAAATCCTCTCCTTATATCCCAGTAAGAGCCATTCAAAGTTATTAAAAGCCTTGGCATAGAGGACAGTCTTAATGCAGTGCCAGGTGGGTCCCAGTGGGGAGACTGCTGCAAAATGGGGGGGGGGAATGGGGCTGCCACTAAGAAGACCCTCCTCCTTGTAGCCACCAACCAAACCTCCCTCAGAGGAAGGTCTCAGGTGTTGAGTGTAGTGATGGTAAATTTAAGACAGGAAAGGTGCTTTGACAGGTTTTCAAAAACTTTGATTTTGTACAAGCTGCGGCTGCTCAACAGGCCTCAATGGCAACCCCACATATAGTGTGTTGCCCTCATCTAACTTGGAGGTGATCAGATCATAAGCTACTGAAATCTGGCTGTCCTCTTCAAGACAGGGGCATGACTAGGCCACCAGCCAAGACTTCTAAAAGGCACTCTGTTCCACTGATGTCATAGTTCCTGAGCCGCGCATGATATTACACACCACTGTAAAATTTAGTATGTATCCACATTACCAAATAACTGAGTAGTGATGGCTGATCTTTGTGCCTATTTTCAAACACTGTCTCTGGCTTAAACATTGAGGAGCTCCTAATGCAGAGAAAGATGGACAAAATGCCAAGAGCGTACCAGCTGAATCCATGCTAGAAGCACAGATTTGGAAGTAAAGATCACCGAGTTCAAGCACCTTCTGATGCAGGAAATGCACAATTACTACATCCCTTATAGGTAGCAATCTGTTCACAGACCTCAAATGCCCCCCACCTTCCAAAAAGGTCTATTTCACCTAAAAGCAGCTCATACTAGCTGGAAGATCTCCCTAGTGTTGGTTTGGATCCTACCTTCTGGAGGGATAGGAAAAAACAGACCTGCTCCATGTGCTATGTGAGAACCTGTCAAATATTTGAAGATGACTATCACATTGCCTCTTCTAAAGGCTAGACATACTGAATTCCTTCAACCTTTCCTCATAGGATGTTGGTTCCAGGCCCATCTCCATCTTCGTCACCCTCCCCTGAACACATAACTCCAGCTGAGGTCAGTCCAAAGCAGAACAGAGTGCTGCCATTACCCCAGTCAAAAGATCCTATTACCTGGTAATGACTTGGACCACTTGACTACGCAGAGAAGCTGCCTCTCACACAGTTGATTAAGGCTGGTCAACAAAGCACTTGGCGTTTCTGGTTGTGTGTTGTCGTAACCTGCATAGACAACTTCTGGCTCAATGCCTTGCAAGACACTGCTCAGTGGAGGGATAAACTGGACCTCTTGACTTGGAGAAAAAGACAGTCTCTGTGCCAGGGCTTGGCTGTCACTTGGAGGGGCTGCTGGCTGCTGGAGGGCCACGACGTCCAATGCTCTCAGAACTTTGACCTTATTAAACTTTTTAAACTTGCGACCTGCAACCCAAGCACACAAATCTTAGTGGCAGGTAACATGAGCACAAAAGCAGTAAATCCTTCATTATATAACAAGGGCAACTCGGTATAATATTCAAGCTATGTGTCTTTTAAGACTTGTCCAGGAGAAATGTGGACGTGTAAACTAACTCAGTCTAGACATTCTAGCCTGGAACCAAGAGTGGACACCGCTGCTGTTTAGGCACAGCTTGGTATGAGTTCATCCACAGGACCAAAACTTTCATGCTGCTACAGACACCTTCTTCAAGCTCCCACTGTAACTTGGGAGTGGGGAGGGAAGGGATGAAAGAGCTGCTACTGCAGCCTTCATGAGGCCTTGCAGAAGCTCTAGGTGAGTATGTTCCAAAACGATCTGGAGTCTCCTGTCCATCACCTGACTTGCACATGTTCGCTCTGTCGCTGGAACTAAATACATTCAAGGATCACTAACATGACACCCAGTTAGCGCCATGGACCACATCCTCTCTATGGCATTTTTTGATTATCTAGGTTGTAGTAAGCAAGGTTTTCCCCACAACACACATAGAAAATTAATGAAAAACATAAAAAGTTGACTCTTGTAGCACTGTGGAGCAGCAAAAGGGGAAAATCTAGTTTGTTTGCAAGCTAAAATTCACCTTTTTTGACTCAGAGGGCCACCCACAGGGGCTGCATGTTGCACACCAGTGATCTAGGTTTTTAGTCTCCTCAACTGCCTCAAAGAGAGTCACAACAATCATTACTGTAACCATTCCTCGACCTTCACATGGTGTAGAAAGCTGCGTCCGCTGTCACTTTTTTTGTATGAATGTATACAGACTGCTATGGGAGAAATAATTTGCATCAAGGATCAACTGATCAGCCATCATTTTCATTTCTGGAAACACCAATAGTGTTTCTGCAGCCAGGGTCCATGTCCTGACAAGTCACGGAACAGTTCTCGCATACCTGAAAGGGGTGGGGAGCAACAGTTTTGCGCAAGAGGTTTTACGGAATGGAGAAAGACGCACAATAGCCAACCTGAGAGCAATTGAGTGGGAAAATATAATGAGCACTAATTAGAGTAAACTGATGTACAATCGGCATCCAATCTTTGCTTTGAAAAGGGAATGCAATTAGTGCTGTTTTAACTGGATGGATACCACATATAGAGGGATACAATTCACATTAGCTAGACCAGGTGGATGCAACAATAGCAATCAGCTTTTTATCCCTTGCAGTTGGCAACAGCAGGTACTCAGGCCAGGCCACTGGGCTCATTAGGCTGCAGTTCTAACTACATTTTCCTGAGAGTAAACCCCAGTGAAAATGGTGGTCTTTACTTCTGAGTAAACCCTGTACTGTGAGTGGAAAACAGATTGCGATCATGCTAGCATCCAAACTGCACGTGGGATAACATGAAAAATGACAAACTGGAAAGTTTGCTTGACTTGCGTCCAGGTGCTCTTCCTTGGTCTTTGCCACATGGTCTTTATTCCCTGGCTGACTCCACTAAAAACAACTCAATCCTGGAAGCTTAATTAATGGCTAGTGCTGGATAGCAGGGTAGGATGCAAGCCAAGTGATACGCACTCAGACAAAGTTATTCTGAAACAGGTTTTGCTTTTCTTTAAAAGGTTTAGTAAGGTAATAACTTACTAAGCTTCTGGCTTTCTCAGTTCAGGTTCTCCAGTCTGAATCCATTTCAGGCCTTCATCCCATCTTCTCTTGGCAATAGTGTTCTAATTCCAGTCCTGGCCCTCTCACCCCTTCTCCTCTTTCCTCTCCGTTACAGGGATAGGAAACCTGTTTCAGCCAAAGGGCCGCGTTGGCTCTGCGCAAGCACTTTGGGGGCCACATCCCAGAAGTCTGCAGGGGCATCCACAGAAAGGCGCATCCCTATTGCTTGTGCATGGCCCCAATCCATAATTGTGGCCCATACCTATCGTATATACTGGGGGAGACATAACGGCCAGTGTGTGGAGAGGCTGGCCTCCCTGCTGCCATGCCGCTCAGCAAAGTGGGGCTGCTTTGAAGCCAGGGAGCCCCTGTGAGCCAATGTCTCTTGCCCCCTGGCTTTCCTGATGAGTCCAGGCTTCACCTGATACCACCAGAGCCACTCCTCATAGACCTGACCCACCTTTCCTGTCTCAAAGCAGGTAGAAGCTTCATGCAGTGGAAGGGTTTTTGGGGGATTCTTATGGGCTGGTAGGAAAGAGCCTTGAAGGCCACATTTGGCCAGTGAGATGGAGGTTCCCTGGCCCTGCACCTACTACTTTCTGGCTTCACATTATACTCATGCTCCCTCTCATCCCCCTGGACAATCAGGAAGGAAGAAAAGTCTTGGTTTCGATTTCCATATTTTGGTAAATTCCTGGCTGAAGATCTGACTCTCCTCTAAGCTCACTTCTCCCCTTAATTGCTAGTTTGCAGCACATAACTTTTAACCTTCCTGGCATTTTTTAAAACCAACCTCGGCAAAACAACCCCTAAAATGAAACCCAGTACAGAATGTCTGACAGAATCATTTCTTTACAGCAAATATATGTCAGAAAGTATGCAGCATGCATGCAGCAATGAGGAAACACCACAGAAATAACAGGAAAGGGTTACCACATCCCTATTCCACAAAAGACATTTGAGATTGATTTATCTCACTAGTGGTGGTGGTGAAAAAGCAACAAAATAATTTATAAGGTTTGTTAGTCATAAATTCTTCATTTTTAAGTCTGCTTTAGATTTGTTTTTCCACCAGCCTCCTTTTGTCATATGCCCCCCCACCCCCTACCCAGCAGCCAAGACTTTGGAAAAAGTTGGAAATGGAGGAACCAGGTCGTGCCAGGCAATTCATCGTAAATGGACAAGCTTCTTCAAAGAATGTCTCCCTGCATGAGCAGGTGAAAAATGTTTGCCAATTTGTTATTTCCTGACAGAAAAACCATAATTCTGCTTCCAAGGTCACTCTGCCCCTGTAGTTTTCTAAAGCGGAGTGCTCTCTGTCCTCTTCAGAAAGTGAGCATGCAGGCTACAAGAACAAAGCAAAGGTGATACATCAAGATTTCAATGAGGAATTTGAAGTAACATCTTTAAAAAAAGAACTCACTTGCAAATCTAATTTGACTTGACACTCACACAAACATAAGATGCCACCTTGCTAGGACACCTGTAAGTTTACAGGAAAGCTGAAAGGACCTGAGAGTAGCATTAAAAAAAAGTATGGACACGATCCAGCACTTCTAATGAGAATTGAACTAATCATCCTCATGGAATCAGTGAGATATAAAAGTACTGAGCTGGATTGAGCCCTATCTTGCACTTATTTTTGCAAATTTAAGCTGTGTGAATGATTTGGCCAAAATAAAGTATCTCTAGGTGTTGAAGAAGGATCCAAAAAAATATAGCTGTCTGTCTAGCTGTGTGCACGTGATACCAGGAATGTATCCTTAGATAGTTGGGAAGCTAAAACATACATAAACACCATTCACTGTCTTAATCCTTTTAGCAAAGCTACCAAGTCGCTGAATGACAGCAGGGGGACTAGAGTCTGGCCCCATCCCACTGTTCAAACAGCTAAACAGCCTTGGTTCTTTAGACACCTTCCTGCATTCAACCCCTGCTGCTACCCACATGCTTTGTTCAATCAAAGCCACAGAGATGAGAGCACAAAGATTTCTTAAAAGAATGAAGGTCATGTTGGGGCCAGTCCTAAGATGGAGTCCTGCACTGTCCTACCCTGGGAACTGTCTTCTCCTGTCAGAAGCATCTTCTGTGACCCCCATGCACCACTAGTTCTTTTAGTCCTTCTCAGGGATTTGCTGATGAAGTTATGTTTCAATGTTGGGTGATACATATTGGACAGATACACAGAGAGGAACAGTATGAGTCTTGGGATATAATGCATTCCTCACTAGTGAAACCTCCTAAATGTGTTAACCACCAATTATGGTTCCATACAATCAATCCTGGAACAGTTGGGTAGGAGAGAAGAAGACTTCAGACTGGAAACAGACCTCTGCACCCTATCAAGAGGTAGGAGTCACCTGAATCTCCAACCTGCAGGATGGGTCCCACTTTCAAGAGTTCATGGACTTGGGTTGTAGCCTAGTGGAGCCAGTGGATTTCTTTACCCAGTGAATGCAATGGGGGCCTGAAACCTCCACCACTGGATGTAATCATCTGGAAACCCCTAATTAATATGGCTTAGCTAAATCTAGATCAGTAGAAGTTTAGCCTTACAGTTTTATCTATTTTCATCACTATCTCTGAGTCATTGTCAAAACTTTTCATGCTTGGTAATGGTTGTGTTTTCATGCTGTACTGTTTGTTGAAGAAATAACAACAACAATTAAAATGAGGAGGGGAAGGGAAGTCTCATAGCAGATGGGTCAGGAGCAAGACCAAGAGAGCAGAGTACTGTGTTTTGTCTGGCTGGCTTCCCACTCTCTAAAATCTACAGCTTCTGCAAAGTTTGCAATACTATACTAATATTATTTCTAAAAAGCAAACAGCCTTCTCCTCCATTATCATGTACAGATAGATCCATAAGCTAGCAACCATCCCAAAATCTTTCTCCTACATACATAGGAATGGATAGGAAAGATGATGCATTTGTCTTCCCTTTGCACAAGCTTGCTCCTTCTCAGACATTCCTGCCATTTGATGCTCTCAGGATAGGAAGCAGCCGTCTACCACATCTGATGATTAGTCTGTAGATGTCCAGGCAGCTGGCAGTGGCTCTCCAGGGTTTTCACTGGAAGCTTTTCTCAGCCTTGCTTGGAGATTCCAGGGACTGAACCCATAATCTTTTGATTGCCTTGCTCGGCCTTTATGACATTGGGAATGAGATGGGGAGCACAATCATGTTGATTCTCCTTGATCTCCTGGTGGCTTTCAATAGCATCAACTCTTGTATCCCTCTAGGATGATCACTTGATTTGAGAGTGGAGGTACTGCCCTGCAGTGGTTTCTTACGTACTTGGATGGTCAGCACAAGAAGCTTGCAGAATATGGCCTGGCCTCAT